CCCCGGGGGATCTGAACTGGCTGCAGGGTGTGGCAGATTCGTTTTGCCATCCGGGCTTTTGCCTCCTTTAAAAGCCGTTTCTGGCTGGTGTGGAGTGCATCATTCATTCATCTGGTATTCATTCATTCGGCAAATAAATGCGAGGAGAGCTGGCGGAATAGGTAAGGGCACTTGGTGCCCTCTGAGGGGGATGGGCAGGGCCCCTGCCGTCTGGCTGTCTGCTGGGAAGGGGGTCGGCCTGCCTCTCACCGGAAGTCTGGAGGCTGAGGGGCCCCTACTACTTGCCTGCTCATTACCCGGGGGGCTGGGGCCAGCTGGGGTTAAGGGGACAGATTGGGGCTCCCAGTTTGACCTGGGGACAATGGCCTTTGATGTGGAGATGGGTGATCTGTGTACCTGCTGTCCCGGGATGCCCCCTGCCTGACCTCCCAGAGGGGAGCTTGCGTGCTAACTGGGGATGTGGCCTGGTGGTTGGTCCTCCTGCACAGGGCGGCGGGCAGCCAGCCAGGCACCCTGGTACGGCGCCGTTCATTCATTCCCCCAGCATTCGTGGACACCTACTCTAGGCCCACCCCGGTGCTGGGCTCTGGGGACCTCAGATGACCATGACCCGGCTCCAGCTCTCCAGGAGCCACGTTGCCAATGGTCACAGACCTGGGCTCTGCCCCTACCCGCCCTTGAGAGCTGGGCCAAGTTAGTGGCATGGACACTGTGGGCCTGGAAAGTACTTCCCACCTTGCTGTCCTCACAGAGCCGAGTGGGTGTGAAAGGTATTGCGGCAGATAATGGCTGAGAGCCTTCCAGGCATTTTCGTGTTAGGTAGTGACCCTCACTGACATCCTGGAGCACCATTGCTTTCCAGGGCTGGGAGATACTTTATGGCCTTGACCATCCAGTGCTTCCTAGAGGAGTAGCCAGGAAAGTTGTATGTTGGGTGGGGTGGGCAGGGGGAGTTTTGATGTCAACCATGGTGTGTGTGTGTGTGTGTGTGTGTGTGTGTGTATGTGTTCCATTCAGCTCTCAGTTTTATGCCATGCTGGCTGCTTTTCTGTTCCTCAGGCATGGCACACACACCTACCTCAGGGCCTTTGCACTTGCCTTTCCCTTTCCCTTGAATGCTCCTCCTGCTGATCTCCCCTAGTCTCATCACACTACTTCTTTCTGCTCAAATGAATTCTCCTCAGAGAGCCCTTCTCTGACCATCCTGCCTACAAAAGCTCCCCACCAGGTGCTCTCCCTCCCCTGACCTGCT